CATTGCACTAAAGCCTCGCATTGTTCAACCCTTCTGAGCCTTGGTTTTAACTTCCTCTTTAAAATAAAAGAATTGTATGTTTATGACAAAATGGCAGAGTGAGTGGTCACTTGTCAGCATAACGTCTTGCTCCACTATCTCAAAACAGCAAGAAATTTACTAAATAATTAAAATTACAGGGAAAGAAGGACTCCTAACAAGGTTAAGTCTTCTGGGGGAAAAAAATTTCATGATGAGTACACTCTCCCATTCATACTGTCTGTCCTACAATTAAAATATGAGACATGAATTTCAAGATTTGACTTTTCAAGCATCTTTGCTATTCTCTTTTTGATAGTGACCTAATCTGATTCCTACCCATTCGTTGGGGCAAAATCGGGCCACTCTAGCAGTTGCAAGAACTAGGGGGAGGAATCTAGTAGTGTAAAACCAGGTAGTGTAGAAGGAACTTATCCAAGGATAAATTCAGTTACAGTGTTTTACCTGCATTAGAAACCTCGAAAGTATTTTATGGAATGATACCTCTTTCCTGAGAGTTATTGTATTTCTTGAATAGTGGATTGCTCTTACTATAGACACCTTCGTATTACACATGCCTTTTTTTTTTTTGATTGCAGGAATGGTTCAACATAAGGAAGACTATTCATATTTTTTAAAAAATCACAATAAGATAACAAAAATCACACACCAGAAAGGCTTTTGATGAAATCCAGTATCTAGTTCTGTTAACACTAGAAAGCATAGAATTACCTTTCCTTAATATAATAAGTAATGCAGTAACAGTAATAGTATTTATATATTGTTTTGAGGTGAAGTAGGTGCTATTATTCCCATTTTACAGCGGAGGAGACTGAGACTGTGCACTTGTGATTAAGTGCACAAATGACTTAATCATGGTCCCATAGCTAGTGTCTGAAGCAAACTAGATTTTCTGATTCCAATTCTAGCTCTCTACTATACTATCTAGTTGTCTAAAACTTGCTTATAGGATGTTCAGGGAGGATTAGCACCTCTGGCTTGAGGGCTTGCCCAGACATTTTCAGGGCTGCTCATCTACCTTTGGTATCTACCTGCTACTCAGTTTTCACGTGTAGCTCCAAGAAGCTGTAGCATGTGCTTTACCCCGGTAAAACCATCTTGGCAGATGGGCTAAACTAGGTTTAGGGTAACCGAACACGCCTCAAACCCATTAGTGAGGTAGGGGGAGGTCTACCCTAGGCATGTAAAGATTTCCCCCCAGCGGAATTGGTAAACGAGAACAATTTGTTCCAATGGCCATGAAAGTGGTGGAAGCAGGTGCTGTGGAGCACTTAGAGCTTGGTCAAACATTGAAAACACCAAGGTCACTGGCAACCTGGGCCATTACCAGTCATCTTGATTTTTGTCTTGCCGTGAAACTTCAGTGACTCTGGGAGACAGAGTGAGGCTGATGACTCTGTGCAAGTCTGCCTCACTTAAATCCATTTCACATGCAGGTCAAGACATCACCCCCATGATGCCATTAGTCCTTTTTGAAAGGGAAGACAGAAGACAAACGACAACTCTCTCCATGTGATGTGATTAAAGATGTTCATCCCTAATGGTCCAGAAATGAGAAAATGGGTGACAGTACATGATAGGAGACAGACAGTGTAGAGGGACCAAGAGAAAATTTGGGTGTTCTTAACACTGTCGTACAAATCAATGTGACTCAACCAGGAAATAAGAAGAAAAAACAATCTATAAAATTAGTAGGGTCTGATAACATTGCAAAATACTGTATTTATAAGAGATGCCCATCAATTGGGGAATGGCTGAATAAGCTGTGGTATGTGATTGTGTTAGAATATTATTATGTGGTAAGAAATGACAAGCAGGATGATTTCAGAAAAACTTGGAAAGATTTACATGAACTGATGCAAATTGAAGTGAGCAGAACCAGGAGAATGTTGGACACAGTAACAATAACATTGTATGATAAAGACCTGTGAATGACTTAGCTATTCTCAGCAATACAATGATCCAAGGCAATCCCAAAGGACTAATGATGAAGTGTACTGTCCTGCAGAACTGATGTTGTTTAAATACAGAATGAAGCATGCTTTTTTTTTTTTATTCAAGTTGCCTTGTATGGAATGACTAATGTGGAAATGTTTTATATGATTGCACATGTATAACCTACATTTGATTGCTTACCATCTCAGGGAGGGAGAGAGATACAGAATTTGGAACTGAAAGTGTTAAAAAAAAAGTATAAAAATCATTTTAACATGTTATTTGGGAAAAAAATTTTTTTTTAAAAAATACTGTATGCAAAGAAATAAAAAGCAGGTGTATTTTAATGTTCTTTCCATTTAGATTGTTTTAGTCATTGTATATATTGTTTTCCTGCTTATTTTTTCCCATGCTTCTCTCTGTTAAGAAATAATTATAAAGAAATATTATTTCTTAGCAGCACAGTAACATTCCGTTACTTTCATGTATCATAACATTTGTTTAGCCATTCTTTTATTGGTGGATATCTTTGTTTCCAGTTCTTTGCTACAGCAACATATCAGAGAATATAAAAGGTAGAAGCAAGAACAGAGGATGGAAGATGAATGTAAAAGCATGGTGTGGGTTTGTAAGAATATTGTCTAATGTGCTAAAGTTAAAGATAAGAGTATATATATTGAGAGTTATGTTATAGGTCCTATGACATCTTGAAGAATTATTAAATTATGTGCATATATGCAGAGAAATATCTGGACTATTATTTATTTAAAATGGGACTTTTTGTTCTAGCAGTTTTAAGAATAAAATACCGATCTCTAATATTTTTATCAGACTAGTGTAGTGGAAGTAGCCAAGTATTTCAAATTACAGGAACTTCAATTCAGATCCTGGGCCTGCCATTTTTTACCCATTTGACCGTAAATGAGCCACTTAATATTCCTTAATTTCCTCATGTATAAAATTAACAACTAGGTGGCCTCTGAAGTCCTTTCTTTCCACATCTAGACCTATGATCCTAAGTAGCAATATCATAAATGTCATGAACCTGATAAATTTTGTGATTAAAAACCTCTCCACTCATATCAATAACACTAATAATAATAATAATGATATACCTATGGTTATTATAAATTGCAAATGTGAAAGCTTCAAATCATTCCCATAAATCTGTATGTTACTTTTTTATTATGATTGTAACTAAGGATTTGTATTTTAAAATTTTATAAATTCCTAATTTTCTTTGAATAATGTGAGCTAAGAAAGTTGTTGGCATAGATTGTTTTACAAAAAGTTATTGGACTTGCCTTTTTCTGTTTAAAAAATAAAGAGGGAACGTTGCTACACAAATTGGGGAAATCACTGATTTAAACTTTCTAGAGTTCAGTTTTTGCATCTACAAAATTCAGAAGCTGGGCAACACAATCTTTAAGAGCATTTCCAGCTTAATGTTTATGATTCTCTGAAACTTTCACATAGAAACCCTTCAAATATTTGAAAATAACTCTCATGTGTGTCAAGCTTTCTTTTCTCCAAACTAAGAGCCTGTAGCCCCTTCACGTTTTCTTCATATGTTGTTTAATCCCCTCACCATTCCTGTTTACTCACTTTTGGATACACTTTAGTTTGATAATGTCTCTTCTTGAAATACTAGGATACTTCAAGGATGGCCTTCCCAAGGTAGAGTATTACTTTATACTTCTTTTAAGCTAACCTAAGACTAGCTTTGATGTTTTTCAACCATATCTCTTCGTAAGCATCAGCATTGTGATATGGTTGAAGAACAAACACTAAAGCCATTCTTAGGTTAGGTTAATAGTATTTTAAGAAGTATAAGAGTTAATGTTGTCACTGCATGCAATCAAGAAAAAGTTACCTTTTTTAAAAAATCAGCATTTTCATGTCCCAACCTTGGGTTTTGTGTCTCTTCGTAAGGGTTTGCAGACTGAAATGTTACTCTCTACTTGTGTTCCTCTCCTAAAATATGTGAATGAAATAACTACCTTCTTTCCTACATGAAGATTGGGGTGGAGGGTGGAGAAGTCTTTAAATTGAAAAAATTTTAAAAATCAAAATCAAATTTGATTTTTTTAACCCGATGCAGTATCCTTCAGAAAACATATTAACTTATCTTGAATTTCGTCATAAAATTATCTTTTTTCCTTTTAAATGATTTGATGGATTTATTTCATTCTTTATGGAAATGTAATTAAATCTCAAGGGCTTCGTTTTCTCCTTGGGAATTAAGTGATCCATTTTACAAATGTTTACTTCATAGTCAACTTTTCAAAAGCACATTTATTCCTTGAAGTAGAATATTACCTGCAATCAGGTTTCAGTGAGTTAATGAGAAAACATAAGAAAAATGGTGTAAGGGAAATTTTTCAGTACTTATACTCTGGGAGAGATGCCAGTCAAGAGTTTTTTGTTTTTTCCACCATACATATTTAAAATAAAATTGCTTATGAAAACTAGCTCCAGCTTGATTAAACTTAGTTCTGTAACACTGATGTTAAATAATTAATAAAATTGTCTGAAATAAAGCCTTTTAAAAGATGTTAGAATTATGAATTCATTTTAACCATTCATTTTCACCACTTTAACATTTATTAAGCACGTACTATACAAAAATAAGTGAACTAAATATAGCAAGAATAAAAATGTTTAAGATAGGTTCCCTGCCTTCATGGAACTTGCAGTCTAGTAGAGTTTGCCTCTTGACCAAAAACTGTTAAGTTTTTATAAGTGACTTTCAATTTGTATTTCAGATTTTATTACTTCAGTGGATCAACTTTTAAACTTCATTTTACTTTTTGACAAATTAAATACTAAAATTTATATACATCCTAATTAAAATTCAAGTTGTTGACTTAGAAACTCTCATGTGGAAGAATGTTTTGTTATCATATTTTCAAAGTATGCCATAGTTTGCTTCAGAATTTTTAATGCAGTTTTTATTTAGATAAATTGTTATATACAAGGCACAATTTAAATGTGATTATTCTGAACATGTTTCTTTTCTCTTTAAGGACTTTGTACTGAAGGCCTCTATCGTGTTAGTGGGAACAAAACTGATCAAGACAACATTCAAAAGCAATTTGATCAAGGTAATGATAAACTGCTATATATCATAAAATCTAATTCTGTTCTTTTTTGTTGTAAGAATTTAATGGTTTGAGTAAGTTAATTGTTAAGTACAGTAAGCCAAGAGATTCAATGGAGTGAGGCCTTAAAAAACCATGGGATTTAGTTACAAATCAGTCACCTTCAAATCCATTTCTGTGGAATTTATGAGTGGCTGTAAGAGGGAATATGAAAGGCAAATTGTTCAACAGTTTTGATTTTAAGGAATGGAGGAGATAAGGTAGTTAGAAAAGGCAGGGGTAATGTCACAGACGCCATATCTAGCTACCTGTGCAGGCAGGGCTACCCAGGAGCTGCTGAACAGGCCCCAGGAGCCCCACCAGGCAGTTATTACCCAGGACATCCCCAGTATGGAGAGGGGCTACCTCCTGGTGAGTGTTGTGGAGGCCCAGCTCCTGGAGGGCCCTACAGACCACCATCTGGTGGCGGGGCCTGTGGACATCCCAGCACTAGAGGGCTGCCCTCATCAGCTCCTGGAGGATCTTATGGAGGCTCTGCCCCAGGAGGTCTCTATGGCCAGCCTGCTACAAATCCCTATAATACCCTTCAGCCAGGACCTTATGGGCAAGGCCCAGCAGCAGGTACCATTCCTCTTGGTGTAAACCCCAAAGCCTACTCCTGGTTCCAGACAGTGAATTCAGATCACAGTGGCTCCATCTCTGTGAAGGAGCTCAAGCAGGCCGGAGTTGGTCCACATTCAATGATGAAACCTGCCTCATGATGATAAACATGTTTGACAAGACCAAAACAGGCCGGATTGACCTCTTTGTCATCTCTGCGTTATGGACCTTCATCCAACAGTGGAAGAACCTTTTCCAGCAATATGACTGGGACCACTCAGGCTCCATCAGCTACAGTGAGCTGCAGCAAGCTCTGTCCCAGATGGGCTACAACCTTAGCCCTCAGTTCACCCAGCTGCTGCTCTCCTGGTCCTGCCCTACTACTGCCAACCGTGCCATGCAACTAGACCGCTTCATCTAAGTGTGCACCCAATTGCAAGTGCTGACCGGGAGAAGGACACAAAGATGCAGAGCAATGTCTGGTTCAGCTTTGAGGAATTCGTCATCATGACAGCCTCACGATGTTGTGACTTCAACACAGTGCATGAGTTCTCCATAGGGGCAGAGCTGGAGGGGATGCCTAGCCTCGGAGATCCAGGGACCTTGAATAACCTTCCCCTGCCCCCCTAAACTGGGAACGGTGAAGGAGTTTCTTGCCTGTCCTCTGCCTTCTCTCACCACTGCCCCCAAAAGAAAGTAGAGCTCCTCTTTCTTTAAGTGGTAACATTCTCAGAAAGGAGTCTTAGAACCTGATCGTGACTGCCATGCTGTGGCCATTGGAGGAGTGACCAGCCCTGTCAGCCCTAGGACCTAGGCCCTAGAGCAAGCAGGATGGAGATCGCACAGCTGTGGCTATCCTCACCAGTGGGCAGCCTCAGCTCGCTTCCAGGCCTGGGAGATATGAGGCTCAGCCCTTTTGGCTCAGGATAACAAGCAACTTGGTCAGCTCAGGCCTTTGTATCCAGGCAAGTCTTGTGGCCTTTCCTGATGGCTTATGTTAGCACTAGCTCATCTCTTACCACCGTATATATTCTCCTCACTTTGTTGTGTGTCATTTTATATTAGACAGACTTGGGTTTTCTGAAGGTGAAACAGAGACCAGGGCAGGGCATTTCCCCTTGAACCCCCTGCTTCCTGGCCCCATGCTGTGCCCGTTGCTGCTGCGGTGTCCAGGGGTGGGCACTCTCCAGCCCACTTCGTGTCACCTGCTGTTGCCAATGCATCTCTATGTTGTTTTCAGTTTGTAGGGGCCAAAAGTCCAGCACATCATAAGCTTCAATAAAGGGGTGCTACCTCAAAGAAAAAAAAAAGGCAACTAGGTCAAGTAAAAATTTCTTCAAGGGAGGGAATATAGGTGCTTTATGTTCATATAAAGACAGCTGGTCCCTGTACAAGAAAATGACATAAAAAGGAAAAACAAAGGGTTCCTTAAAATAATGGAATGGTATACTCTTGTCCAGGAATAGAATACACCTAAGAAGGACTTATAAGAATACACTTTTCTACAGTGTTAAAAATCTAATAAATTACTGAATCTAATATATAAACTGAAAAGGAAAGGAGAAGGAAAAAACTGCTTATATCCACTAGGCTAACTGCCATACAGAGTATCCATAGTGTAGGAAAAACTCCAGTAGTAGAGATGCTCAGAAATTAGCAGGGGACAAAACCCAGCAAAGGACACAGCAATAAAATCCCCAGCCCCCAATGCCTTTACACAAATGCACAAAGAATGGATTTAAATTAAAAACTGGATTCTAATGCTAAGAGACATATTTGTCTTAGAGTTACCACTGGGAAGGATAATTTGGATAGAAGTCTTCATACTGTGCTTTAGAAATTTTCAGATCATACAAAACTAAGACAGCGAACATATTGGATGATAGAATCAGGATCCAAAAACAGCTTGATAGGCTAGTGATCATTGAATAGGAGACTTAATAGGAATAAAGTTCAGTCATCTTCATGAGCACAAAATGGAGGAGGGCCTGGCTGGATGGCAGTTTGTCTGCAGAAGTACTGCTAGCTTAGTATGGTGGTGTAGTATAGTGGAAGGAGTGTTGAGTCAGGAATCAAATGATCTGTGTTTGAAATTCAGCTCTTGGAAAAGTCAAGAGCCTTTTGGAAAAAGCTTTGAACCTCAGTTTCCTCAAGTTCTTTCCCAGCTCTATATCTAGTATTATGTTTTATTTGTGAATAGTGTGCAATATGGCTGTCAGAACTGTCATTTTAGTTTTCATTAGGAAATGCTATAGCATCCTGCACTAGAGGGAGGATAATTCTTTTTTACTTTTTCATAGTCAGTCCATTCTTAAGCATTATGTTTAGCTCTGGGCACCAAAATTTTAAAAATTAGTTCATTGATAAGCTGGAGTACATTTAGTGGAGGGCAACCTGGATGCTGAAGGATCTCAAGATCGTACTAGATGAGAACTAGTTGAAGGAATTGAGGGTGAATATCTCGCAAAAGAGAACATTTGGGGGAACATGATAGCTTTTTCAAGAGTTTAAAGGTGCCCTGTGCATGGAAACTGGAATAAACTTGTATTATATGGTCATATAGGACAGAAGTAGGAGCAGTGAATGGTTATAAGATACAGAGAGGCAACTTTAAGTTTCATGTTAGGGAAAACTTCTTAATAATTAGAGCTATCAAAAAACTAAGTTGGATGTTTTGGTGGGAAGGTGTTTCTCTCACTGTAGGTCTTCAGTCAAAAGCTTGAATATGATAACATCACTCAACTCAAAGGGTTGTTATCAGGTTCAGATGAGATCATCTATGTAAAGTGCTATGTAAATGTTAGCTATTATTATTAAAGGCTGAATGACTACTTGTCAGGTGTGTTGTAACATTGATTCTTGTTTTGGACTGTGTTTTCCAAGATCTCTTCTAACTCTTGAGTTCATGTGATTCAGAAACAAAACAAGTAGGTGAACATACATCATGAGGGTAGCTTTAGAAAGGAGGGAAAATTTTTTTTTATCCTAAGATTACTAGTATGAATTTAGATTCTGGGATGTTTTGAATTGAATAGAAGGAAGCTAGAATAGAGACTTGAATTAATTGTTTATAACCTAATGCTAACGAAAGTAAAGTTTACAAATTTGTTCCTTTTGTATGTGATCCTATTCAGCAGTGTCAGAGATGTGTAGCCAGTAAGAAAATATAAATGAATCTGTGCAGAACAAAACGAACTTCAGCAACATAGGAATGTATTGATTAGTGGTATGTTATATGCAAAGTACAATAATTTATATAAGATATAGTTCTTTAAAAAAAAGAAAAAATTAATATCAGACCTTTCACGTTTCTTTCATTAATTCCCCTGAATTAATGAAAGAAACGTGAAAGGTCTGAAAGGGAAGGGAAAGGAGCAACAATCCTGTGATTTCATTGGTATGGAGAGCTCTCAGTGAGGAACTTTCTTTACCAATGCAGATCATTTCCTTGTCTGAAATTTAGAGAGCTGCCTGAGCACCAAGAAGTTGTGACTTTCTAGGATTTACACTGGCCAATATATGTCTGAGGTGGGGCTTGAAATCAGTTCTTTTGACTTCAAGGCCATTACACCATGCTGCCTATCATTTCGTTAATTCATAATAAATTAGAAGGACAGCCTTTCTTTAAGTGAAAACTGGATCAGATTTATTTTTTATTCTTTAGCAAAGCTCATTCTTATTTTTTAATGACTTCAAGATAAAGTTAGTGTCCATTTATTACTGTCTATCCATATTAACCAAGAGGACAGATTTTGTAACCGGCTGATGCTTGATAGGTACCTAAACATCCTCTAAAACTTATTTGTTAAATACCTAAATGTCTTTCTATTAATGGTTTCTCCCCTATACTGAAATATACATTTTTCACTCATTCTGTTGAGAAACATTTCATTTTCTATGTAGTGTTTTTAACCAAAATGACCCCATTTTAAATATTAACATTTCCTAATAATATTTAAAAGCGTTCATTGAACAACCTAATGTATTTCAATAGCTTTGAGTTTTTAATTACTTGAATTTAAATGTATGTAATATATTTCAATAAAAATTCTGAATGCTCTTGTGGAAATATTTTGCATTTTTTGTAGTTTGCATCTTTTTTGTTAAATTCTTTCACTGTACAAATATGATGTATTAACTATTAAATGATAGAATATAGAGATAAATGCTTAAATTTTTCTCATAATTGTTGATAGAGTAACTGGCCATCATTTCATTAATGTAGAAGAAAAGTATTGACATTTATCATAATAATTTTAATTGTAATTCATTCAGACACATCCTTTTTAATCCTAATCAGTAGGAATTCTAGGATAAATAACACATAGGCTTTCAAATTTAAGAAAAGTCCTTAAAGACTTAAGTGGCGAGCAAGAACTAGCCTTTTTGACATATTTGAATGTTAGTGGTATTTCACTTTTTGCAGAGTACATTTGAATCATTTGTTTAAAACAGATTTCCAAAAGCATCTTGTTTTCATAATACTTCAGCTGTTAAATTGTCATTTCATTTTTGTTTTGTAGATCATAATATTAATCTGGTATCAATGGAAGTGACAGTAAATGCTGTTGCTGGAGCACTTAAAGCTTTCTTTGCTGATTTGCCAGATCCTTTAATTCCATATTCTCTTCATCCAGAGCTATTAGAAGCCTCAAGTAAGTAATAAACCTCTTGCTTTTTGTGGATTATTCTAGATTACCAAATAGTAGACATTAACTTTATGATTTCTCTAAAAGATTTAGTTGATTTAGCAATTTAACCTCTTAGAGATGTATTTTACTAGAACTTGAGGATATTCAAAAGTAATTAAATAAATCTATCCAGTACTGAATCATGTAGACATTCAAGTAATTGAAACCCTAAAACTACATTTTGGTTTCCATCATCTGCGTTTTTAACAGATAAAAGCAGTTCTCAGTTATCAAATTTTTAAGTTTTGGGGTTTTTTAGTGACATTTTGGTGTTATTTGGCTAGCTAATAGAAGTTATTACATGAAGAAGCCATGATAAATTCTTAAAATTTCCATTTCTTAGATTATTTGCAGTAATCTAGCTAGTGTACTTGTGTCCTTATAGAGCTATTCCAAGTAATTGAGGCATGAAACACTTTGGGAGTTAGACAGTTCATGCTTTATATAAAGTACTTAGAACAATTTTTACATAATGTGAGTATGCCTGTGGACATGGGGAAGGAAGGGAGGCAGGAAAGGGGATACACACCCATGGAGGTAGGGGGCTGGCACATGGTTCTGAGGACATGTAGCAGCCGGGGACAGAGAAGTGAGAGCAGGAAGAAGAACATGTCCGGGCTGAGTCCAACCACATTGGGGCCTGGCCAGAACCTAAACCTGGTGGGAGTGTGGGAGATACATGTAGAGGCTAGGCACAGATGCGGCTAGGAGAGAGCAGGTGATATTCAGAGGCCAGGGACAGATTTGCAATACTGGAGTGTGGACAGATGGAATTCAGACCCAGGGTGGGTGGGTGGAGTGGGGCAAAGGTCTCAGCCTTGGAGATTTTTAAGCCAAGACAGAACTGGTGATAGGGACAGTCTCTCTGCATCCATTCTACTTTCTCCTGAAGGGTTTTTTGGTTTGGTTGTTTTTGTTTTTTGGTGGGGAAGGTGAGGGTAGGAGGCTATGGAGTATTGAGCAGAAGGGTAGGAATGGAGAGGGAGAGAGTATAGTACTGTAATATGGATCTCTTTCAGAATTCTTTACATAAAGTCAAATTTGCATGATGCCAATTTATGCAACAAGAACTGTCTGTATGTGGAATTTTTAAAGTGATAGTGATATTTTAATTTGATTTAACTGTGTAATGGAAACATTATACATGTTTTTGTTTCCATTTCCCAGATAGTTTGTATGGAGAGTAATGTAATTCAGAGAATTTTCTTTGTGTAAAGCATACGGTGGTGATGAAACCATTTGGGAATCATTAAGCATATATATGTTAGAAAACATTTTAACTCTACTTGATTTCTTCTGTTGAAACTTGTTCAATTTGAAACATGAATTGATAGCTAGCCAGACCATTGTTGAATACAATCTAATGCTGTAGATATTTGAGTTTAGCAGTAATGTTGTATCTGTAACATGAAAATATACTTATTTTAGGCATATTATATTTATACATAATTAACCATTTTTCTCAATATATTTTATTACCTCCTTTTACTCTTAATTATTAATAAAATCTTTATTGTCAGTGTTTTAACTGAAAATATTTCAGATGTCATGTTTGCTATGAGGTATTGATATTCTTCTTTTCCTTCTGTGTCAGGAAGACATTGGTGACTTCTGTTATTGTACGGATAGTATATAGCTAATGAAATTTGGTGAGATGTGTATGCAGTGTACATATAAATGTATACTTATGTAGTATGTGTGGCAAGAGAACTGTGTAATTTCAGTGGCTTGTGTGATCAAAGTAAAAGACAGAACAGTCTCCTTAAAAGTGAAAAGACTTATTCTGTCTTCAGAAATATTTTATTCTGTAACATTTTCAAAACTAAGGTCTTTTTAAAAATTATATAATCTTTACTTAACAAAGACACTGTATCCTGATTTAGATACTTTTGTCAGTGAACAAATATCTAATGAGGATTATTGGCATCTTATACCTTTTCTTGACTGATTTCTGGGAGAAAGAATAATTTTTCAGCAGACCAGCCAAGATGGCAGAGTAGGATGACACAATACAGCCCAGTTCCCCCTATAGCTATTCCAAGAAGACCTAACAACAGTGCCAGTCTGAATAATGATTAGGAAATCTGAGGGAAAACCACAATGAGTCATCTTTCCAGCCTAAGATCACAAATGCAACATACAGGCAAGTGGGTTCTGTCCTAAAACTCTGGGAAAGAGTTAGATAAAGATATCTGACCCAGACTTCGGACTAAGAATAAGGTCACAATGCTATTGAGCCGACCTTAGAGAGAGGATTACCGACTCGGCACCCAGGACCACAGTACTGTCCGATTGACCCATATAAAAGATCATGGACTCAGTCCTTGGCTCAGAAGAGGGCTATAACATTATGATTCTGACCCCATAGCAGTATCAAAAACTGAGACCAGGCTCATACCCAGTGCTAGGCTGGCCAGCTGGCGGTGACTCCAAGGTTTCTAATCCCAGAGCAAAACAGTGAATTCAGTTCACAGATTGAGAGAACAGGTAAGTGGGCAGCATGGTCACTCTGAACCTGCACAAACTTCTAGCTAGCTTGCAGGGCTGGGACTAGAAAAATCTTCTGGAGCTCTATCTATAATCAAGTCTGTGTTTGTTGCTTAGACCTAAATCTGAGTCTGGAGGGAGAATAGTCTCTGAAGTACCTAAGAAGTACAGTGATCAATGATTTGATCTTATAAGGCTTGCTTAAAATTCAGAGCTCCTCCTTTCAAAAACCCCCAGTGATTCTTGAACGTAGCATTTAGTACCTGGAGAACATAGCACAAAGACTACAAGTAAGAATCCGGTACTATACAAGGCTTTAAAAGTCCTGCCACAGGTCTGCAGAGTTTGACTATAACACAGATTCCCAATCAAACAAGTAAGGCTTGGAAGAATGAATAAGCAAAAAACAATCAAGATCTATTATGGTGACAAATGCCCCAAACACAAATTCAGAGGAAGAGAATAATTCCAAAATGCCCACAATCAAAGCCTTAGAGAAGAACACAGCTTGACCAGATAATCAGTTATAATTCCTTGAAGAAATAAAGGAAGAATCTTAATTTATTTTTAAAGAAAGCTTTAAAGTAATGTTACAAATGAGGTGGAAACATTAAAGGAAAGACATGGAAAAAAGGAGCACTAGAGAAGAAAGATTTGGAAAAAGATCTAATAACTTAACACGAGGTACAAAATTTTATATTAGTAAGAAAATGAGAATAAACTAAACTGAAGTTATATACTGTGTAACCATAAGAAGTATTAAAGCAAAGGAAAAAGAAAAACTGGGGGAAGAAAAGAAAATTTAAGGTATTTAATAACAAAAACTGACCTGACAAAAAAATCATGAATATAAGAATCAATGGAGTACCAGCCAGCCACAAGCAAAGAAGAATCTGGATGTTATATTTTAAGAAATCATTAAAGAAAGCTCCCAAGATCTATTAAAACCAAAGGGCAAAGTGAAAATCTACTACATATCTCTAGAAACACTTCAAAATAAAAACTCTTGGAAATATTATAACCAAAATACAGGGCATCTAGGTCAAAGAAAAATACTGAAAGTGGCTAGGGGAAAAAAAAAGTCCTGAGTATTAAGAAAGGGTCAATATCATAGAAGATTTAGCAACCAATATTTTTAAGAAACAAAGAGCTTAGAACGTATTATGTAAAGCAAAGAATAGGTATAGGGTTACAACCAAGAATAAATTACCCAGCAAAACTAGGTATAGGGGCAGCTAGGTGGTACAGCAGATATGGATTCAGGAGAAGCTGAGTTCAGATCTGGCCTCAGACACTTGTCACTTTCTGGCTGTGTGACCCTGGGCAAGTCACTTAACCCTGATTGCCTCACCAAAAAGCAAAAAAAAAACCAAAACAAAACAAAAAAAAAGAGTATAATCCTACAGGGGGGAAAATGGACCTTACATAAAAATAAAAGGATATCAAGCATTCCTGATGAAAAGTACAAAACTGCATAGAGACTTTGATGTTCAAATGCAGGACGAAAAGAAAAATTAAAAAGTAAACACAAATGAGCAGTTCATAGATCAAGGAGGAAAAGTTTAAATACCATTACATTACCTGAACACCATGCCCCACACACCAAAAAAAAAAAAAAAACCCAGACATATTTTAAAAAATTAAAAATGCTTGAATCTCTTAGAACCAAGCATAAAATGAAAATAGAAGGACTCCATCAGTCACCTCCTGCAAGAAACTTCAAAATGAATACTCCCAAAAATATAGCCACTACCCAGAGCTTCCAGGTCAAAGTTAAAAATACTGGAAGCAGCCAGAATAAAATAATTCAAGTACGAAGGAGCCATAATTAGGAACATATGCTGTTTAGCAGCCATCACTACAAAGGAATGGAAAACATAGAATGTGGTGTTCCAAAAGGTATAGGCTTTTAAGAAAGAACAATTTACCCAGCAAAGCTGAGTACATATAAAGTATAAACTACAAGGGGAAAATGTACCTTTAAACAGAAGAATTTAAAAGCCTTTCTGATGAAAAGACCAGAGCTGAGTAAAAACTTTGAAATATAAGCATGGGAATAATGGGGAACATTAAAAATGTAAATACAAGTCAATAATCAGGAGGAACTCTATGTATATAACTCTTTTGGCTTCAGTCACAGAGGACCCATGACTGATCTTGTTATATTTGATCATCTAAGAAGAAGGGGAAAATTTTGAAAAAAGGAATAGACTAGGGAAGAAAGGGAAAGAAAGTGGGGCAACTTATCTCACATAATCAGGGTATACTAGTAGAGATCTGTGCAGACAAGGAAAGGGTGCAGAGAGCAGGTATGACTTGAACCTCTCTTTCATCTGAACTGGTCATTGTAAGGTAGAATACATACACGGAGTCTGAGGTAGAAATGCATTCTGCTTATCTAGGGGATCAGGGAGAGGGAGAAGGAAAGAAAATGCAAAGGAATAAGAATCTGTTATTGGGGATATAGGTGGAGAGAAGAGAAAAAGGACTGGGGAATTGCACTGCATCAAGCATAGGGCATCATTGCCGAACACAATCATGTCCCATGTTACTTTTCTTTGTAAAGAGGGAATGGGGAACAAAGAGAGGAAAAAGTATAGGGGTATGCTGGAGCCAGCTCATATTAGCTGATAAGTGATGATTGTTAAATTTGCAATGGGAGCATTTACATTTTGGAAGTCAGCAAGTGCTACAAATCAGGACTTGATTCATTGCATTGTTCTAGACTTAGGAAAGTGATGGAGAAAATGTTAATAATGCAAATTAAAATTAATTGTCCTACGTGCATTTTTTTTTTGGAGGGCATGTTGTTTAACATAGACCAGCACATTCCTGAGTGTGAATGTAAATGAGATGAACTTATTAAAATAGAAGAAGAAAACAAAATGGATTAGAAAGCTGAATCCAATAGTATGTTGTTAATAAGAATCATGTGATAGAAAGACTAGAATAGTTAAAAGAAGGGGCTGGAACAAAATCTAGTTTGCTTCAACTGAACTGAACCCAAAACAGTTGGGAATAGTAGCAATCATGATCATGATTGGAGGCAAGGCAACAAAAAGAATAGACTTGTTTAAAAAAATTAAATGGGGAAACCACATATTCCTGAAAGGTGTCACAGGTGATTTCAGTACTTAAAATGGTTTACCTTCTAATTACTTAAAGGAAAAGCTAAAAGAATTTCCGTGAGAAATGGGTATTTAAAGTATAATTATAGGGAGACCTCAGTGTCACTTTCTTGGAGCAAGACAACTCTATCCAAAATATAAAAAAGAATTTAAAGATTCAAATAGAATTTTAGAAAAGGTAAATATGATAGCTTCTCTAGTGATTATTGAATTGCAAAGGAAAGGAATGTACATTTTTCTCAGCTACAGTTAACATTACAAAAATTGACCTTGTATTTGGGCATAAAAACCTCAGAAACAAGATAATGTCAATATTGAGACCATATACTAATGTTTTCACTATGCAGCCAAAGCAGTCCTTAGGGGAAATTTTTTATCTATAAACTATTAACAAAAGATGATCTATCACTTAATTGGGCATATAACTAAAAAATAAACCCCAAACCATAAAAATAAATAATAAAAAACCACAATAAAAAAAGAAATACCAAAAATCAAAGAAGAGATTAACAAAATTGAAAATAAAAAAACATTGAATTACTAAAACCAGAAGTTATTTTATGAAAAAATAACATAAAAACCATTAATTTAATTTTTAAAAGAATTTAATTTTTAAGAGAAAAACCAAATTACAAATGTTAAAAAGGAAAATTAATAATGAAATAAAAGATATTATTAGAAACTATTTTGTCTTGCCTCATACCAGTAAAACTTGCATATTATGTGTAATATAAAATACCCATGTTAATAAAACACAAAATAGAAAATTTTAAAAACTTAATCTCAGAAAAAGAAATTCAGCAAGTTATAAATGAATTCCTAAGGAAAAAATCCCCAAGGATTTGATGGATATATGAATGAATTCTGTCAAACGTGCAAAGGACAATTCAGACGTTATACATGTTGTTTCAAAAATAGAAAAAAAAAAAGGAATCCCTTCAAATTCCATCTATGATATAAATAACATCTTGATACCTAAACCAAGGAGAGTCAAAATAGAAAGAAAACTGCAGACCAGCATTCCTAATATGAAGTGATAATAAATATTTTTAAATAAAATATTTGCAAAGAGAATGCAGTATCATTTCACAAAGATTATACCTTTCACCAAGTTGTATTTATATCAGGTTGGCTCAATATTATGAATAATACAATTAAAATTGACCATATTAATAACAGGAAGAACAGATTTCATATAATTGTCAATAAGTACAGAAAAAAGCTTTTGGTAGAATATATATCTATTTCTGATTTTTAAAACTAGAAAACAGGAATAAACAGATTTTTCCTTAATAATTTTTACACACACACAAGAGCCAGAAAATTATATATGGTATTTGAAGACTAGGCTTTATAAACATTCTTAGGGCATTTACTTAAAATTGGCATTCACATTTAAAGTATCTCCTTGTTCTTTGAAGTAACTCCCACAAGTGTATCTTTATACAATGCTTGGTTAGACCCTTTAATACTCTGTAATTAATTGTGATAAAAGTGTTCTTTAATTGATTCTGACTTTGAAATGTCTAAATTTGAGTTTGTAAAGTTTTTGCTATAGTTGAAAAACAAAAAAAAACCCCAACCAGTTCTATAAGGGAATGTGAGGTAAGTTTAGTTTTCTACAGTTACAAGATTAAGTGAGAGTTTTAAGAGTATAAAGGAAGGAAATCTTAATCTGTCATACATCATTAGTACCTCATCATTTTTCATAGCTGTCTACAGGCACTATGTCTACATGTCTACAACTGTAGGCATTGATCCAGTTTTTTTAATAAAGTTTTCTTTATAAAGTTTAGCTTTATCCCTCTCTTTCTAGGAATTCTTGTCAATGATATTGCACTGGCAATAGACTTGTATTCTGTCTTTGGTTTGTGTTTACCCGAAGAATCAAAAATATATTCCATATATTCCTACTCCTGGGTTCACAAAAACTATGCTAACAGTGTAAGCTCTGACTTGTTCAGGCCTCAACAAGGGAGTATGGCCCTGACAATACCCAAAACTGTCTGTGTCCTTACATATCAAACTAGCTCAGAAAGGCTTATTACCAGGAAGTAGGTCACTGAATTGTTTGGCCATACTAAAATCCTCACAGGAAATCCATGCAGGAGGCTTAAAGAATTTATTTCACATCTCAAAGAAGGAAAGGCATTTAAAAAAATATTCAAGATCATGGATAACATTATTCCTAAAAAATGGTCACAATGAAGACATCAGACACTAGAAGCCTATAATGCCTTATATGTAGAAAATCATTGTTAGGATAATACCAGGTACTTTCTTTACATGTAATTAGAAAATATAAAATACTGTTAAGTGGGGAAAAAGCAACAACAAAAAAATTAAACAACCAGAGTAACACTAGGCTTGGAGTCAAGGAAGATTTATCTTCCTGAGTTCAAATATGGCCTCAAGACACTAACTATGTGACCCTGGGCAAGTCACTTAACCCTGTTTGCCTCAGTTTCCTCATTTGTAAAATGAGCAAAAGGAAATGGCAAACCCACTCCAGTAGCTTTGCAAAGAAAACCCCAAACCAGGTCACAAAGAGTTGGACACAGCTGAAAAGACAGAAGAACAAAGGGCAGTGAAGAGATATATGAGTGTACATAGGCTGGAATGTATACCAACAATGGCTTACAAAAAAAGAAGTAGAATTAGCATGGTTAATGACTGAGGCAGGCCAGCCATGCACTGAGGACTAGAATGTAAAAACAAATGGACAGGCCAGTGCATTATTGGTTTCCATGAAATCTTAAAAAACCTAGAAGGCTTCCGAGTGCATTGCATTGGGAACATTCTTTAGTTCATTTAAACAAGCATTTATTAAGTGTCTACTTACTCTATGCTGTGCCCTGGGGATATAAACAAAAATGAAGGAACAGTCCCTGCTCTTGGGGGGGGGTACATTCTCCTTGGAGTTGGGGAGAAATAGTAAATATAAGGTGATTTGAGGAGGGAGACATCACAGGAGAGTACTAACAACTAAAATAAAAGGAATGCTTCCATGATTTTATCACTCGTTGAGATAGCATGAACAAAAATCACATAGGATGAGAAAGTATAAGTATGTTGCAGCCTCCATCAATGGAAGGAATATTTCTACTTATGAGATTATGAATCCATTGAAGTAATAAAAAATATGCCCTTAAAAGATCATAATAATTTGAACAAAAATTATATAAATCATTATATCTAATATAGGAATTCCACATATGCTATCTGTTCATAGCTTCACACTCTTGACAGTGTTATGTAGGTATATGAGCCAATAATGGCAGTGTCCAGTTCATCTACTAGGGAGGAATGTTTTGAACCTTAATGGTAACTTTGCCTTATAAAATAGGGATATTGAAACAGTTACTGACACCCAGCAAGTTTTGTTGTAATTATTTTTTAGGATCTTGTGTTAGACTTAATTTCTAAGTTTTAAAATAGTTTTATTGTGTGTGTGTATTAGAATAGACACTACAGTATATAGCAAGTACTTAATGTAATAGTTGTATTAGCTGCATTTTGCAGTAGTTATAATAGCATTATCAAATGCTTTAAGAGACTTTGTACATTTTTTCCTCCCAAAACACAATTACTTTATTTTTACAGAAATCCTGGATAAGACAGAACGACTTAATGCTTTGAAAGAGATTTTGAAGAAATTCCATCCTGTTAACTATGATGTATTCAAATATGTAATAACACATCTAAACAGGTAACTGTGTATCTCAGTAATTTTTATAATACATGTAATGCACATTTGCTGTAATACTGTTGAAATATTAGTAGCCATAGTGATAAATGGGTTAAAAAGCTAATTTGAAGTCACAAGTTATATAACATAGGTGGAGTTTTAACTTGTTTTTAATTATGATTTCAGAGTATGTTTTTCATTGTTTCATAGATAATGAGATTTTAGAACTAGAAAGGAACTTAGAGAGCAACCTTTATTTACAAATAATGAGACTAAGACCAAAAGGACTTTGTAATTCATTGTTAGAACCCTAGAATCCTGGGCCCCCTATGCTCTTTCTTTTGCATTATACTATTTCTGCTTTTGTCTTTTTTTTTTTTTTTAACCATGGACATGAGAGTTACATGTGCTTTATTTTCTTTCCATGTTGAGTCAATCATATTGGATTATCCATTAGTGGGGTTTTCTTAGCAAGTTGTTTTTTGTCTTGCTTTGTTCTTATTTCTTTTTGCTATCCAAGACATTTCTGAACCATTTCTCACATTATCCATTGAAATACATTATCCTAATGTCAACCCAAGAAAGGCATGATTTGTAAAGTAGTTTTATGAGGAGAAAAGGTATTGGCGTCTTTTGATTTAGGAATTATTTGTGCCATGATTCACCTCCGTGAATGTGAATAATTAAGAATCAAGGCACAGTGTTGCCCTGGACAAATACTAAAAAATAGAATTTTATAAATTGCATATAAAACTGGGGGGAATAAATTCATTAGAAACTAAAAGTTAAGAAGCTTCAGTTCCAGTCCCAGTTCTGAAACTAATTAGTTTAAAACCTTGGACAAAGTCACTTAAATTTTGAGCCTTGTAACCTTCATCTGTAAAATTAGGACGTTGAATTTAAACAGTCTCTAAGATAATTTTAAGAGGCTGTGATTGTGTGTGTATGTGTAGAGAGAGAGAAAAAATATGCAGTGAGCTTGGCTTTGGGGGTAGGGAGTGGGGAGGGCACAAAAATGCCAAAAATATGTATTATATTCTTAAGAATGCAAGTTGACAGAGTATAGGGTGTCTTTAGGGGGGAAATGTTCACTAGTTTCGAAGATTAACAATTAAGACGAGATTTTGAGTGAAATTCTGTGTGATTTATTATGAGATTTTGATCTACAATTTTAGTATTCTTCAGTATCAGTGGAAAAATTAACCTAAGTTGTAATTTGTCCTCATTTCTTTGAGAAGCCTATTCTTCCAATGGAATAAAAGAAACTGCTTCCATTTATAAATTACTTATTTCAAGGAACACCAAACAAAGGAAACCTATCCTAGGAGCTTTAAAAAAAAATACTCTTATTTGGCAGGCACAGTGCTAAGCGCTTAGGCTGCAAAAAACATAAGAATTGGTTGTTTGCTGGCAGTTTTTACTAGAAGGGTAGGACAGAGAGAAGCTGCTTTAAATTTGAAATTTGGGTTCTAGTGGGATTATGTTATTTCTAAGGAAATTTCTTGGTTTAAAATTCTATGTTTTTCTATTCACATGTAAATGTGTATATTTTTTTTTCTTCTTTTACAGGGTTAGTCAGCAAAATAAAATCAACCTTATGACAGCAGACAACTTATCCATCTGTTTCTGGCCAACTCTGATGAGACCTGATTTTGAAAATCGAGAGTTTCTGTCCACCACTAAAATCCATCAGTCTGTTGTAGAAACTTTTATTCAGCAGTGTCAGTTTTTCTTTTACAATGGAGAAATTGTAGAAACTGCTAATTCTGTGGCATCTCAGCCACCTCCTTCAAATACTGGACAGTTGGTGGAACCAATGGTACCACTTCAGTTACCACCACCATTGCAGCCTCAGCTAATACAACCACAATTACAAGCAGATCCTCTTGGTATTATATAAGTAGGAGATGATTGCAGGCAGCCTGGCATTGAAAAGAAAACAAGCAAAGCTAGACATGCATGTTTCAGGGTACAATAGTGTATTTCACATTTCTGACAAATAATTCATGTTCATACTGAGGGAACATCTTTCTCTTATAACTGTATCATATTCCTTCTTCATTTCCACTGCAGATCAAGACCATGTGATAAGCATGACTGGAGAGGTTTAATTTTTTTAAACAAAAATAACTATAAAGTACAAAGCTACTGCTGCTGCATGTAATCTTATTGCAATCACTATATCATTCCTTTGGCAATTTCTGCCTCAATATATTGTGAATAAAATTTTTCTATAGAAATTAAATGATTTAAAAACTCACATTTATGAAACATTCAGTGCTTTTCAGCCTGCTTTATGGCTGCTTTTTCTTTTAATTTCATGTGATATTTGGGCAACTTAATTTCCATTCAAACATTAAAGCCCAGCTATAGTTATTTTATAACGTCAAGTTACTTACATCAAGCTTGGGGCAGTGTTGGAAAGAAGGAAAAAGTGCACTGTTGAAATATATTACGTTCCTGCACCTTCCATCTTCTGAGTAAACCTGTGGACAATTCGATGAGGGGTAGGGTAAACATAGTTTTTATTTCTTGTAGCACAATACCAAGGACATGCTTGTGGCAAAAGTGAATTTAGAATATTGTGCAAAAAAAATCAGATGTCATCTACTTATTTCCTTATGTTCCATTAATGAGATAAACATTTTGTATCCTGTTAATTCTGTAAACAAATGCATGTTTAAAAGATCATGGATGGTCTTGTAAACTTAATCTAATATATTTTAGATATTTTAATTTTTTCCCTCTTGGGGAATACATTTAGTGTGTAGAAAATAGCTCATGACATTTTCATATAAGGTTATGTAACTTTTCATACATAAGCATAAAATTTGTTGTAGTAAAATTCTTTAAACCAAACAATGTTTTAATCTAGGACATGAATTTAATCTGTTCTTTAAAATCTATTTTTATGTGGCCCTTTAAATATATACAAAAATCCATTGCTAATATAGCAATAAATACTTTGGGTACTGACTGCCTCTTTGGAGTGTATATATAAAATTACAAACTTGTATTCATATTCTTTTCTGTGGTATGTTGTACTAAAATTTCAAAATTACTTTTGCACCATTTTTATACATTTTTTTCTTTGATGTTGGTACCAATTTTGCTGTAAAACAATGCTGCTTTTTTCATTTTAAATATTTTATTAGTGATAATGCAACTTACAAAGTGATAAATTATGGATAAATTTTCAGAATTAGGCGGCTGTAAACTTTTTTGTTAGGCTTTTCTCGAGTTCTATGAACACTATGCCATTTTTGTCTGGAAAGGAAAGAATTCGGTTTGTTTTCAGCTGCTAGGGTACGTTTTTTGTGGTAAAAGAAAAGCTATTTGGTTGTTGTATTCTTCATTCATGATGAAATTTTAAGATCGTCCTATGTATTATATAGTAAATAGATGATTTTGAGATTTAAAGTTCTTAAGAGTTTGATTTGCTCCCTTTTCCTAAAATAAAAATTGCCTTTCCCAACTGTTATGTCCTAGGTATTGTACTTCTAATTTTAACTTGGATTAATCATTCTGAATCAAGATGTTGACATGAACCAGGCTGCTGTTGAAGTACATGTATATTATAAATTATCTTATGTGTTATATTCTTGCAAGTTATTATCTTTTCTAAGAAAACAAAAGCCCTATTATTCCTATTGCAAAGCACACAGGAATTGAGAAAGTACAATAATTTAAAAAACTGTCCAGTAAATGTAGTATTCTTAACTTGTTCTATATTACTTATACCTGTTGTCTATATAGCTTTAATTTATAGCTGTCAGTTTAACATTGGCATGGATAGCAAAAAAAATTAAACTTTAAGAGTTTTATAAACTGTTTCTAGGTTGCTAAAGAATTTATTTTTCTACTATATATGGTATAGACAAAGCATCAAACTATGTACAGGAAAAAAGCCTGACTATTTCTTTTGGAAGTAGGCTAAAAGGAAATTTTTCAACTGTCCATATCTTCATATTTAGTCTAATATAACTTCCTACTGTGATGTGAATCTCACTTTATACTATTTCTGTTTTTTGCTATACTAGTATATATAGTAAGCTATGATAATTTAAATTTCATCTGCATACAGTACCATTTTTGTTATGTTACAACTAGCATTTACCATTTTCCACATTAACCACATAATACAGCTCTGAAAAATTGACATTAATTTTTTCTTTTTATTCTATCATAGACATGACACTCACAGTGAGTCCATCTAAATACTCCCATAGTTGGCCCAATTAGCAAGTTTCACTAACATTGATTGAAAATTAAGTAGCTACTTAAAACAATATATAACTCTGAATTACTTATATTGTTTTTGTCCAGAGCTTAGTTTTATGTTTTAAGTATTGAAAAGGTATTTTAAGTATTTGCTTTCCTCTGGAACAGCTGGAAGGCAAGGGGCATATTATTATATGAAACGTTAGAAGATTAAAAGAAGGGACTAAATAATCTCATATATTTCATCAGTATCCAAATTGGTGGGGGAAAGGAGCGTCACAATGGACTTTTAACAATTAAATTTTAAGGAAAGTAATGAATAAATTCACAAGATATATGAATTGCCATTATTTTCATTAATGCTTCCTATGTCTAATTGTTACACTATTGGGCTTCAAGAGCCATATCTAGATTAAGATACATAGGCTTATTGCTACTCTGATTTATGCATTCAGTAGATATATCCATTTGGGAATCAAATTATATGCCTTCAAGGTGATTTATAATTAATTTCTTTTTTAGAAATAAAATTCATTTAAAAATAATTAGTCCAGGTACAGTGGATTTTGGTTTTAAATGGTATTTGTTAATAGTTTTGAACATTTGTAATGTAAATACTGTAGGTGACAGCAGTCTGATTTAGGTGAAAAGCAGCTTTTATTTTCCATCCTGTATGTAAATAATGTGGACTTGCCTTTCCATCTGAGGTACTGGAATATAATTTCTAATATCTCTAAACTATAAACAGAAGGAAACAATTGGAATAAGAACCTAGGCCTTAGCTTCCATGGTGATTTTAGTTTTTTTATACAGTAATAATTGTGATGCTATTTGTCAACTGGATATAAATATATATATAATTTTAAAAAGTCAAAAGCGCTTTCTTTGTTTTTAATTAATGTAATCATGTGCTTCACCACCAACAGGATGCTGCAGTGAATAAAATATCAGTGAAGCTTATTCTGTATAAAGAATGCTAAGAATAAAACATATGAGGCTTACTGTGTATAATTTTTAGTTCTAGTGGGTCTTCACCATTTTTTTAAAATGAGCTTATATTTTTCAACTAAAATGTCTACTCAGGCTGTTTTTTAACTGAATCGTGTGTGTGTGTGTGTGTGTGTGTAAATGAGAATTAACTTCACTAGGTAAGATAAGTTAGTGGTATTGATAGTGTGTTATCAGTGGAGGTCAGCTGCTTCTTGCATTGTCTAGTGAATTAAAAGTTGGGTGATAAGCATTCAGTAGAAATAAGATATTAAAACATTGACCTCTGAAGCCTAGGTAATCACCGGATAGAGGATTTCTTTGGTTTGATATGAATTCTAATGGTTTACAAGAATGTCTTGGTACAGCTAAAATCTGTTATGATACTAGAATATCTAACCTAAAAGAGTGTCCTTTTGGTTCTCTCTCTATGCATTGTGGATCACAAGTCTAATTTTTGTGTGAATTGGGTTTGGGAGGGAGTTGGGTGGAAACCATTAAGTCATACACAGTATTATATTCTTTACTTTTCCTGGAATCTTTTTTTTATTGAAATGTATCACTTATTTAGCTTGATCCTTACTTTCTCTAATACTGAGACATTTATAAAACAATTATATTTTTATAAGCTGCTAAAGTTCACAGCATCTCTTGTTTGAGTTGACTCCTCACAAACACTTAAGGAAGGAGGCCAGTCTTTATACTTATTCTCTTAGTATTTTTGTATTATATATTAGAATGGAAAGCTGTGCTGCACACATTAGCTTCATAACTATCCTTAATCATAGAATTCTTACTCTAACGTTTTCTTTTGTTGGTTAAATGTATCTCTATCATCTCTACCTTCATCTCGATAACTTTAACTGTCAGTAGGTATCAATCCATTAATTTTCCCAGCCTTCTTTATCTCTAGAGTGATTTCCCTGGGAACCTGGGAATGGATGGAGGTGGACAAGATCATTACAGAATTTCCAAATAAAAAATTTGATATTATTAATGACAAAACTATATGGGGGTTTTGTTAAAAATCCTAAAAATATTGTCAGAGCTTAAAAAATGAATTTGCCAAACTCAGAGAAAATACTATTAACCTTTGGTTGCCATTAACAGTAATATTGTCAAGCTATTCAGTGTTCTAAAGCATATGTGTAGCTCTGAAAGATACTTAGAAGACATAAATAAGCACATCACTCCACTGATGATTTTACACTTATCTGGAAGAAGTGAGAATTAATGAAAAATTCTGGACCATATCAAGATTTGGGGTTTTTTTTTCCTCCTGATGAGGGAATATGAGATTTGGAAGGGACCTTAGAGGCCATGTAGCCTAGACCATAGCAAAGCAAGAATCTTTTCTACCACATTCCCAAAAAGGGATCTTCCACGCTTCTGCAGGAAGACCTTCAGTTAAGGGGGATCCAAAACCACCAATGTTTCTTCTTTCTCAGACTGCTCTCCTGTGCTAGCCCTTTTATATTGACTTCATCATTTCTTGTAGCACAAGAAGTTGATTGATTCAATTCTCTTATCTACAAAAACCTCATGAGTGTTGCAGAAAAAGTCCTTTCTTGCTTTTCTCTGTCACATTTTTCCGGGGTTATGATTATGATGAAGTGACTCAATGTCCCAGGGTATCATGAATGGGCATCATATCACCACAACCAGAATACATCAGATCCTCAATGCAGGATATCTTTGGGTGATGTTTTATAGGGTTTGAGAACTTTTAAATGTGAAATCAAATGTAAATGAATTGACCCCAAATTTGGATTTAGTCCCACAACCTACCCCCTTTGCTCCTGTTCACGTACTGCTGAACTGAGCTAGAGAAAGTCATGGAACCATACTGATTGGGTCCACTATACATTAATCTCAACTGGACCTTCATTATAGCTAGACAATATTTTTATACCTCCATTATTAATTTGCTACGCTTCCCACAAAAGGTGCTATTTCAACCCTTCTCAAGTGTTGTGTGAAACCAACTCCCTCCCTCCACTCCTCCAACTCAGGACCTCAATCCTTAACCAAAAAATAGTCATGCCAAGAGCTTTCTCTTTTGTCATGTTACATCACTCAGATGTTTTAACCTCACTATCCTCTCTTCAGTCCCATCTAATGAAGAGATTGGCTTTTCCTTTGAAGGCCAATCATTCTACATGTACTATTCCTCCAGCAGATTGTCCTTGTTATCTTCATTCTCAAATTCCCCATCTCTACTGGTTCTGTCCCTGCTGCCTACAGATATGCCCATATCTTTGTCTCCCATCCTTAGAAAACCCATATTTGATTGAACCATATCTCCCTAGCTATCATACTTAACACAATGCCTAGTAAATAGTACTTAATAAATGCTCATTGACGACATTTCTGAACAGAGTAACAGGATAATTATGTTTTCCCCATCCTTCCCCCTCTGTCTCTTTATCGAAGGGTGATAATCCCCACTCGGCAAATAAGCAAGCTGTGCTAAACTGTCCTATAATCATTAAAATATTGCAACTAGTAGTTATTAAAGACTAGGTGAGAGGCAGGAGTAGTAAGTTTTATTGCACACACTACTGGTGAATGGCTATCCTTTGACTTCAATTTCTCATTTCTGTTTTATAGTAGATTAAATTGTAAGCCCTTTAAGGGTGGAGGTCTTTTGTGTCTCCAAACAGATGTCCAACAAATAGTTAAGGGACTGCTGTAATAGTCTGTCTTATAGAGGTGATGTGAATTTCTAAATGGATCAGAATTTAAAATAGGGATTTCTTCCAGGGCTCCAGATGGCTCTATCCTAAGGAAGGTATAATCTATTAGGCTTGTGGTCTGGGCTAGCATTTTTTTTTTTAAGTTTCAAACATTTTGTTGAAATCTCCAATCAGGATTTTAAAAAATACGTTTGATACAATTCATAAGTGGGCAGAACGAAAATGTTACACTTTATAACAGCCGTTTAAATTTCACATTGTTTCTTGGATGTTAAAAGCATGAAAGGTATTTTGTAATAAGTAATTTGGACAGTTTTTTTTTTCCAGTGGAGTGTTTCTTCATACAAGATGTTTACCATTTAAAGGTCCTCTTGATATGATTCAAATACACAAAAATATAAGGACCTTAACTATCTTGAGATACTGCTTTATAAATCTAAGGCTGACCTGAACATCATCAGTGGTCTTTGTTTTTTTTCCCTTTTAATTTCTCCCTGATATTTTTGTTTGGTTTATTTTCAGTAAACAAAAAAGAATCAATCTCAGGTTTTAATATAGTAATTACCATGAAGTGAAAAGTCCGTAAGTATCTATCATCTTTTATACTAAACACGCAACAAATTATTACTTTAAAATATTTGGGCCAACGTGGGAGTACCAGTTAGCTTTATGTAAATTATGTATTATCTCCTCTCTTCATTACGTTGATGTATTTGGTTTAGCATGCTGCTTCTATTAAGGTGACAAAAAATAACCATAATTTAATTGAAATAAAAAAGTATAAAAATTTAACATAAATGTATAGCTGCTTATATTCACCTACATTTATCATTTCCAATTATTTTTAACAATGCTCAAGTGCAGTTTAAAATACTATTATAAATGTCAATGACCTATAAATAGCAGCATTTATACATGACATTATAAACAAAACTGTCAGCATTGACCCAGTTTTTATAGAGTTATAATGAAAACATGCACAGTATAAGCTTCTGTCTGAAACTGAGTATTCATGTGGTCTTGGGCCATCACTAATTTTGTTTTCCAATTTGGATTTAAACTTAGATGTCAACTTACAGGTCTGAAGCAAAAAAAGGGAGATCTGTTTAGTGGTTTCAGGCTTGTTTGGGTATCTTAGAAGCAAATTTTTGAAAATGCAACTGTAGTGAATATTTTTTCTATTTGTAAATCAAAAATTCTCATCAACAGGGACTCATCAACAGTAACTTGACTGTGATACTGTCCAGCTCTAGAAACTCAAAGCTTCAACCACTTATTAGATGTCTGTGATGGGCTAGCATTTCTAATCATTCTGTCAAGCCTAGAGAATCAATGGCTAAAATCAGCCTAAGAATTTAGATATCAATGTATCTTGAAAATTTTGGAAGTGGCAGATTCTCCTATGAAGCCATCTCTTTTCTAATGTAATGTTGCTGAAAAATCATAGATTCATAGACGTTAAAGCTAGAGGAGATGTTAAAGACCATTTACTCCAATAGGGTCATAGATACAGAGCTGGGAAAAACCTCAAAGGTCACATAGTGCATCCCACCCTTGCTTTACAGATGAAGAAGTAGACCCAGAGATTAAGTGATTTGCTCAAAAGTCAGACGATTGTCCTCTACAACAAATAGTATCAGAGGCAATGTGTGAACCCCTGTGCTCTGATCAGAGCAAGTGCTTTTTCACCCTCCATTCCTGGATATCTATGCTTTGCACCAATCATATTTTTAAAAATTTATTTGTGTTTCTCTTTACAGATAACAAATGATTTTTAAATAGACTTTAAAAATTATTTTACAGAAATGCCTTTTTATTTCTATGCTGTTTAGTAATACAACATAAATGGGTGTTTTATTTTGTCAAAAGTTCTTTTGCATAGGAGTTGGTTCTACAAATATTTGATATAATTCACTTGTAAATCCATCTAGTCCTTGAAATTTTTTCTTTGCGAGAAGTTTTCCCATGAGATTGCTTTAATGGCATCCTGGAAATTTTGTCTTTATTATCTCATCGATGTAATTTTATTTTCTACAGTTTGTTCTTTGACCTATTCTTAGTTTGAAGATTAAATTATTTAGCCTCCATTTAAGTCTGACTTTAGTTCATTTTTTTCTTATTGATTACATTTTAATTGCAATGTTGTCTGTAATCGATGTATTTCTACACTTATATTCAGTAATGATATTTATTCATCTATGATATCTTTAAATATAGATAAAGTAGTTTCTCTATTTATCTTCCATTAACTTTTTTTTAACTGTTGCCTTGCCGAGGTCAAGATCACTGCTTCTGCTTTTGTGAT